GAGTAAACAAACACGCACGGCGCACGTGCTTGCTCCACTTCACTTTCGTAGAAATCGCTATAGCTATAAACAACCTCCGCCGCGTCGTCCCTATACTTATGAAAATACGGTGAGAAATAGAAATATGCGTATCCAGTCGATGAATGAAAGTCCACACCATCGCGCAAGAACATGCAAGCTTCCACCCGTGAAACACGTACAGCTACGTCTGTGGTGCGTAACCCAACAGTGTGCCCGGAAAACAATTCATCCCGCGCGTTCGATCGCCTCTTTTGCTCTATCCATCTCTATGCTGCCCTCCTCGTGAATGCGTGCAAATGCCATTGGAGCCCTGACCCGGTTCGATGAAGTTCGGCCGAGCCGCCCTCCCTTCCCACTTCGCCATGCTTTCTTGCGATCGGTGATCGACGGAGAAACTAGGTCGTGGGCACGTGGCGCGGCTTGAGCTCATCTGTCGTGTCGGTGCGTGGAAAATCTGATGGACGATTTTTTTACCAGTGATACGAGATCGGTGATGTTTTGTTTACAAAGCGACATTTTTTTTTTTCGTATGATCTTACTTTTTGTTTGCCGATTTTGTTATTTTTACCGGGCACCCTCTACATCGCTGTACCCACGCGTGGAGGGGTGTCGGTCGGAACCCCGTTATACACTTTTCCCCTTTATATTTTTCTTACTTTCCTCGCTGCTTTCACCACCCCCCCCCCCCCCAAAATCGGTTCCGAATTTTCCTGGGGCGATCCGGAGTGTCGAGCCAATGGTGGTGGTGTAGGACAACTTTTTCGTAAGGGACAATGGTGACCTATGCTAGAACCAGCTACGGAATGAACCGTGGAATCGCAGTCTGGCATCAAAGCCAATACCTATATGAAGCAAAACATTAAATTTCTCTAAAATGCTTTTGTTTCTGAATTATATCGAGAAGCTAAATATTAGAGGAAAAAAAAAAGTGAAAAACAAAGCCAATTTACGTACGTAGTTCAACATCGAGTTTTGCTTCACGCCACTTGAGCATACAAACACGCCTTTGAAAATTGATTAACGAACAACCAATCCACCAACGCAATGCACGATCGCGTGTGTACGTCACTACCCCAACCCCCACCCCCCACCACTGCTCTCGACTCCCATCTATCATCTTACTTATTGTTATCGCAAAAAATCGAGAGTGCAAGTGTGGCCTCGTACCCGTGTAGGTACACACACGGGCGAACAAATGAGTCTAAAAATAATTGTGCGCGTGGCTAACTTTTTTGAAAAAGCTCGACCTAATTAACATGTCCTTGTCGGTGCTGTCGTACTGAAGGAAGGGGTAATTAGATTTTTCGCCGAAAACTTCGGTATCTCTCTTTTTTTTTTATACGGATATATATAGGAGGGTGCTTTTAAATGCATTGTACGAGTAACCGCGTGGTACACGACATTACTTTGCCGTCACGAGAGAGGGAAGGAAAAACGTATATCAATGCAACTGCGGCTGGCTTGATATTCGTAAAAAGGGCCCTTTCAATTGTGAACCCTCTAATGATCAGCGATAAAATAATGAATGGCACATGGATTCATTCGAGTAAATTTAACAAATTTTCTACAAACGATGCGTGTTTTTTCTCCGTATAGTAATTCTTAGAGAATTTCAAGGGTGTCCAATTAACCTAAGACATTTTTCATCACAAAAATATGCTTCGACGTGCAATTCAATTACGCGACAATCAACGAAATACAACCACTAACGATTTCGTATTACCAAAAAAAAAGTCACCCCCGAGGGTGAGGGGCAAAAAAACATTGTAGGCAAGCCCAAGAAATCAGCAAAGACGCTACTACATCTGTACTCCAACACTGCATCTGAAATCGAGGAGGATGAGCAGGAAACGTCTGCTCGAAGCAGTACACGCGAGCTTTTGGATGATTTGGTGAATTTCCGAGTATTAGAAGTGATGGTGGGGGTGGAAGCATTCAGTGTAAAGCAATTGCTCTCGTCGTCAGACAGCCACGACAGTTTCGGAAATTCTCGTCACAGCGCTATGACAGCGAGCTAGGGATAACGGAAGGAAGAGTAGGTGACGGTGTCGCGCTTGATTTTGCAGTTGTCACGGAACGCCACGACGGAAGGAGGGGGAAGCGACTCACGAAACGTCGAGCCGTCAGAGCTGAGGCGAGCTGTCTCGCGAGTGGTTATTCAGCGGGTCTGCGGTCGTGCGGATTAATTGGTCACTGATGCGGAATTTTTTTTCAGTGGGCTTTTGTGGTTCGTGCGAAGAAATCATCTCCGAAGGATTGACGGTGTGTAATCATTTGTTCGTGCGTGAATACGCTAAGCGAGGACTTTTTTTTCAATTTATTGATCGACAAGTTCAAAGGTCAGAAGGAGAATGGTTTTTACACGTTATTACGTCGTAGCTGCCGATTATTTTATGTAATAAAGTGAAAATGATTTTTCTTTTTTTGTTGTGCTTTTAAAGTAAGGAAAAAATATCAAGATGTTCGTTAAGAGCTTACATTATACATCTTAAAACTTCTGGAGACAAAGGTCAACAACATTGTCAACAAGTGTCACGTTTTATTGAAATAGAATTAACATTTTTTAGGCTTTCTTCACCCTCTTATATGCTCCATAATATCAACCCAACTACCTCAATTGGATTTAGAACGAATAATCACTACCTAATAAATGGTGAATTGAAATTCTTTGTAAAGTTCTATTGTGACCAAATCTTTCTTGTCAAGGTGGATGTATCTAATTTGCCAGGATGAAACCGTACCATCCTCGGACAAAAGACATTGAACCAAATCCTGTTCGATCGCAAGGCTTTTCCTACCAGTGAAAGTACCGTGAAATAAACCGCTTCAAGCCACATTGTTGGCGAAAAAATGTCCCATGGAAGTAAAAGAGGCTTCTCCCATGTTTTGGTCGATTTTAAAAATATTTTCATAAATCAGTCACAAAAATTAGTACGAACTACCAAAAGCAAATCGAAGGCTCAAATTGTGCAACGGCTAAGTCAGACTTTTAAATTAAGAAGTATAAATAAATCGGAAAAATACGCTTCCCCTATTTTTTGTATTTAATGTGCTCTTGGATAAACTAATTTGTTTCTTTTGAAATCCTCATTGAGCAGAAAAAAAATCCACTCCAAATGAGACTTCTCCATGCGTTCATTTTATAAGGCACGCGATCATTTTTGCCCACCGACTCATATATATTCAAATATTTTTGTTATTCGCACCAAATGTACTGAAAAATTCTTTATTTTCACACCAAATGTAGAGAAGAGAAAATAAAAAAAAGCCGTCCTATCCCAAGGCCATCGGTAGCCGCAAGTAGAAACAGCAAACGCTTGGTCAGACGAGAAAAACAGCGTAATCCATCGAGGGGCAAAACAAATGAGACAATTAAAATCAACCCCCGGAACCATACCCATTTCACCCGATTACGTAACACACGCGGTACGTTGTAAGGGGAACGAAGAATTCGCGACAATACGCGTACTTGTACGTATATAAAACACATCTGAATTAATTACACTGTGCGCTCGGAGCCATAGTAGAAGCAGTCGAGTGGTGGTCGGCCACAAAAGAGACACGCGCACAAAAACGCAGGATCCTCATTGGCTCGATTCTTCATATCCTCGGCTCGTCTTCCTCCTCCTCGTTGCCAGCGCGGCAGCGATCCCGCACCGATTTTTCCATTTCCCCACCGAAAATCCCAAAACTTCCAACAACCACAGTTAACGGGAATAACTGACGATTACTCGAAAACCATAAACAGCAGCAGCAGCTAACGACGACAGCTTATCGTGCAACCGATCGCGATCGGCCGCGATCCCATCGCGCACACGCACCCATACATGCACGTAAAATATACATACATGCACCAACACACGTGACGATCGTCACCCAAACGCTCCGTTGAGGGCACAAAGATCGTCTCGGTTGTTGAGACAAACGGAGATGACGCGCACGCAGCCAAGACTGGCCAGCGAACTGAGCAGGGGATCGAGGCTCGCGCTGTCGGCTCCTCTTGCGCCCAGCATCAGAGAGAGAAAGAGAGATACGACGGAGATGGAAAGACGAGCTTTGAGAGGAAAACAGAGAGAGAAAGAGAGAGAGGAGGGACATGCGCACGCGTAAGCTCGAGCTTCCCACCACACCCTCGGTTTGAAAACCAGGAGATCCGAGAGAAGGAGGCAACGGGGACACCACTGCTGCATCGTGCGGTCGCATGCGCGCCCGAGGTATACCAGCCTCTCATCCTGGACCGCCAGCACCGCTGCTGCTGTTCATATTATTGTGTGTATTTGAGCCAAAATGTGTATACGTGTCCTGTATTCGTGCGGTGGTACCAAGTGGGAGGAGAGGGGTGTCTCTCATCCCCATGCGAGAGAGGCTATTTCCCTCCTTTCGTGCTATACCCTAAAAATTATCTCCCACGAGCAAAGGATACGTGCAGAGGGGACCGCCCCCCCTTGGATCGTGTCCCTTCCTCCTCTGCGATTTTCCTTCCTATTTGCGATCCTCCGGGTTTCCTTGGTCCCCGACTCAAGTCGTTACTACCGTGTCCAAGAGCAAAGGATTTGGCCATTTTATGTGATTTTTGTGAGTTAATAGTATTTTGTAAGATGATAACTAAAACGTTATCTCTGGTATTGCTAAAATATCCAGTGTTTATTAAAAATCTCAAAAAGTAGGATAATGCTACGAGCTTCTTTAACTCCAACATCAAGTATAAAATTGTATGAGTTAAATACGCGAAGAAGGCAGTATTATTTAAATTTTCATAGGCAATTATATTGAACTTTTTTGCACCTTCGAGTGACTATCCATACCATCGAACGGAGGTCCAAATTCAAGCCCCACCCCTTTTCGTCTTCGTGTAATAAAAACGCGCTGAAAAAATCAATGAAACATCGAATTACAAGAGCATCACTTGTTGGTACACTCAGTTATTAAATTTCGCCTCATTTAAAATATAATAAAAAATATTTATTTTTAGTAACTTTTTAATCAACTTCAAGAACGCTTTCGATGTAGTCGAGAATGTTTTCGTTGCGTAACATTCCATAGTGATCTACGTGAGGAAACGATCGATAATAAATCTCTTGACTTTGTTTATCAATCCAATCTAGACAACCTTCCAAACTTTTTTTATTGACACTGCCATCGCCATCTCCAAAAATTAATTCCGGAGCGTCGTTAAATGATACTCCAGGCCTATACAACAACCTGTGAAATAAACGTTAAACTGTTTATCATGTATAATCAAAATAAAAATTCTGTTACTCATTTCTGTGTTTCAAAGTAAATTAAAAGATAAGGTCTAATAGAATCTCAACCTATGATTGTTAACAACTAATTAAAAATTATGACAAATCCAGCAAAACGATGTATAATTTACATGTTTGGTATCCTTGCTAAAATTTTTTATCATTATCATATTGTTACGAATTAGTGTAAAAAAACCACTAAGCATTTATGTTACATTTTATGTTGGTATTCTTTAACTCTTCAAATTTTCAGCACATCTAATCATTGTTTACAAAAGCAATAATTGATCTTGAGCAGAATTATTAAATCTTAAAAAAATTTGGATTTAGCTGCTTAACAAACAGAACTATCTTAAAATTCAAGCACTTGTTCTCATATAACTGAAAGTATTGTAAATAATAGTAAATAAAATAATTGTGATTCAAGACAATCTACAGCAGATAAAAATACTTGAAAAGTTGGTATTTTTGTAGAATAGCTCGCCCTAATATCATGAGTAAAGTTTCACATTAAATGTACCTTTGAACTGTCGAATAACGTATATCTCCGTACAAACAGTATACCCTCACTCCTGGAGGTCTGGAATCAAATTTGTTTCTTCGATTATTCTTGTAGAATTCCCACGCATTCGGCACACCGATTTCTCTAAAAATGGATAAAATTGTCAATTAAAAAAGGAGTCGAACTTGTAAAGTTGTAACATAAAACACGTGACCTACAATAAGTATTGTCTCAAGTCAGCTTGCGTGTAATTTTTAAACTCGGTCGTCACAAGCACTCCATCATCCGTCAAAGGTTTTGTGGGTAACAACCAACCAAAGCTTGGAAACGTTACGAGCAGTTTCCTCAAAGTTCTCGCGTTTAACAAATGTGTGCTCATGTTGTCTCCCGTCGCAAGTATTTGAAGGGCTTTTACTGATCCTTCCCAAACACCGGATAGTGTCAGCAAAGAACTGACGTATTTGTCTTTCCACGCTTGCGTTTGAAGGCGTAGAAATATCAACGCCATCGATCCCCCCATGCTGTGGGCAATGAACGTCACTTTTTCGTTGTTGTTCATGCGGTAAGTTTCTTCGACGAGGGTTTTCAGTTTTGTGAAATACTCGACGTTTTCATCTGAAATTTCACGAACATAATTTTATAAATTAACGACATGCGCATCGGCATGTATGTAAACCCTACGAAAAATCGATCACTGAAAAATTCTTTTCAAAAGCAAAACAAAAAAAGTATAGTTAAGGCCGAAACATCACCTGGTCCCCTTCTAAAATCATAGGGCGCGCCTCGCAAAGAAACATTACGTAAATAGCCTAGTTTATCAACGAGCATATTGGCTATCTCCATGAAGTACGAGCCATGTGCGCCAAACACCCTTTGTCTGGGCGATGGTATTCTAGGGTCTAAGTACTCTACCGTCGAGGTGTCACCCCATCCGGGTATTTTGGTAACCACACCATCAGGACAATACGTTTTTCGGGTCCTACCGTTGTAAATAAGTCGGAAGTTATCAATCTGAAAGTAGAGTTTCCGTCATCATCATTTTCGAAGACTTGAACGTGAGACAAGCTTTTTTCATGCATCATGAAATTTTATCCAATCTTCGTCTACGTTTTAAATTAGTCAATTCTTAGACTTTATGGTAAAAAAAAAAGTAATTCGTAATACTATCATCCATGGTGAGATTTTTTCATGGGGTGTAAAGTGTATTATACATATACCATGTGGAATGATCGAGATCAAGAGTAAAAAGAGAAAATGATTGCCAAAGAGTATAGAAAACTTTGAGGTAAGTATGCAGCAGAGAAGTAGGAGAGAAATTTAGATGAAAAAAAAAAAAAAGTAAAAGAGAGATGCCAAGTGTAAATTAGTGTTGAAGAAAAAAGGCAATCGAGTACCTAAAAGTACTGAATAAAGTTATTTGAGAACAATAAATTTGAAACTCTCGTAGAACAGAAAACTTGATAAAAAAAAAGAAAACTAAAAAAACAGTATTTAAAAAATTATACATGCTAAATAAAGTGTAAAAAACAAAATATTAAAGAGTTACCCAACATTCCAAAAAATGTGATGACAATGAAGCTGAATTGAGCCAAATATTGATGTAACCGTCAGACACTTTTTGGCAGTATGCTTGAGCTGTAGATCTATTAACAGATGCCTCTATTTGACTTCCTGCCATACCTGGAACTTTAGTTAACGAAGAATTATTTTTCTTTCAAAAATAATCCAGAGTACTGAAAAAACAAAATGAAACATATGGCCTTTTTTCGTAATCACGCCTGTACTTTCTATGTGACCATTAGAATAAAAATCATGGCCTATACTTAAAGACCTGTAAACTGGGTGTTAAATCGTTAATCAAAAAAAGCTACGGTTTCTCCTCAAATTGAGCTAGAAATATTCTTTACAAAAAAATTTTATTTCGTAATGTATGATAAGGGCCAGTTGAAAAAAAAATATCGAGGTTCATAAGGATCCATATTATGGGATGCAAAAAAAAGATAAACAAAAACGAGGAAAAAAGATCATATTGAATTACATTTTAACATAAAACGTGTGCACTTGCATTACTTACTTAAAATTACGGGCGATATTTGTTTCCTTGTAAAATAGTACATTTCCACTCGTAAAATATTGTAAAATATGACAGTGGCATAAGCAACTAATCCAAAACGCATTGTCACTTTTACATACACTAATACTAGGTCTCAAAATATACGTATTTTCATTAACTTAACTGATCAAACTCCTATCTTTATTTTGACTAATTTTTTTACACACCACATGTAAATATGCGTGCATATAATATTTTATCAAATGCTTGAGAAGCGAATTAAAAGCTTTTGAATTGACTGTTACTTAGCCTTATGCTAAATGTGAGGTACTAATAATACATGTATTATAAAATGAAGTCATCAAAAACAGTGGGGTTTATATGATTTATTAACATTATCAACGATGTAAACGTTAAATAACTTTTATGATGATTTATACGATAAGCAATATACGCTTTACAAGTGAGTGTACGTACTAAAAATGTTCCTTGGGGACATCCTGAACTAACAGCAAAATTTTTTATTTTGAATTTGAAACTTGTTATTTTGGGACAAAAACCTTATAAACATATAAATAGACAAATTTATTTTATATAAAATAATCAAGAAAATTCATTTTTTTATTGTCACTTAAACTATTAGTTAATTGATACTTCCATTGACAATTAAATTAAATTGCTTCATAAAATACGTCATGAATGACATTTTTATTTACTTCTTTCTCCAATTTTTTTTGTAAATTATTAAAAATAAAGTTAAATTTTTAATAGTGNTGGACCTAAACCCGTAAAAACACTCCAAAACTAGGATTTTGGTTTTTGTAAATAGCCAAAACTTAAAACGGCCGTATCTCCGTAAATAATGAAGATAGAGCAAAATAAGCCTTAATTTCAGATCATCAAAATTACAAATTTTTTTTTTTTTTTTTTTTTTTGGTTGGAGGTAGCGGTACATTTTGAAATTGTATTATTTAAAAGTATCTATAAATACTTACTTTACAATGCTGTTATGCAATAATGATAACGATAAGACATTTTGAATCAAGAGGTAAGTATTTTACAACACAAAAATTTCTTGTTTGTATACATATATATGTGATCTTGACATTTTACAGACTATTGGCACTGATATTTACCTGAAGGTAATTCATGTTTAACTTTCAAATCGAAAGCGCGACTGTCAAATGTATTTTTATTTCATTACTTGAACTTAAACAGAATTTGGTACACAATTATCACAATTATACACGATTAACTTGATAAACAATTTCTCAGAGTTTCATTTGTTTTCGATGATAATTATGTTTGAGAACATTATTTTACACCATAAATTGCTACCACTCAAATCAATAACTAAAAAATGGTCCAACTACGGATGCTGTACTCTTGAAATTTGATGCTCAAAAAATATTATTTGAAATGTATTTTAATTTCCACAGAGTCTTACATTTTTTCCAGTTATTATTACCACAGAACTTTCTCTCCTGTACCAGTACGTGTTGAATAAATAAAAAATTTCTCGAAAACTGTGTATAAACGGTCAAAAAAGTAAAATTTTTATCATAAACGCGTTAATATTTTAGACTTTTTTCCATCCAACGTCCATGCAATCAATTTTTTCAATTTTATCTTGAAGTATAATGACGTGTATGTAAAAAAAAAAAAAGTTTAAATATCTACGCAAGCCAAAATTATCTTGACGAATAACTATTACAATACACGATAAATACTAATAATAGATATTAAAAATGTCCATATTTGAGACTGAGAGTAAAATTTAAAAACTCATATCAAGTTATTAGATTTTTTTAAATTTCATTTATGAATGTTACCTTGGAAAGTACAAAAAAAATTAATAACTCATAATAACCGTTATGAATTATAACTAATTGNATACTTTTTTTTTTTTTTTTTAATCTCATTGGCGAAAATTAAAATTGCAATGTTTTCGTTACGTTTACAATTTGATACGATTTTTGTTTGTTTTAATTTTACTCTCAAAATAAGTACGGCATTTCTGTTTTATTCAAAAAATATACAATTTTTAAAATGCATGGATTTTGGAAGTACTATTTAGTAAAAATCTTATAAAATTGCACATTTTCAGACTTTTTTAGGAATGCAAGAACATTCTTTAAGCAACTGCTTCTAAATTTACAATTGTTTTTGTAAATTTTAAACTCCGAATTATAAATACCAATTTTGGAAGTCATTTCCACATGACCCATTATAGTGCTGTGAAGCAGCACTCAAGGGACTGTTGTGATGGCTCTAGTTAGATGTGTATACCAGTATCGAAAAATTCTTTTAACGAAGACGTAGTACGTAGTAAAAATTGAAGAAAAACGCCAAGGTTGGATCAAATTTTATAAATTTTTTTAACTTACTCATATGATTAAAACTGTTCAAAATGATGGAAACTCTTATCAGAAAGTTATTGTATAATATAAATAATTCGTAATCAACGAACCTCGATGAAAATAAAACGTGTAAGATCACGAAAATCTTTTTTGAAGTACCAATTCAATGCTCGAAAATCATCTAATAAACAAAGAAGTTAAAAAACTTTGTGCAAAATTTTCTGTGCTGCACGAATTAATGGGCTCAAAGTGGTAAGCTTTGCACAATTATCCAAGAAAGGATGAGCCAACAAATCATCTGCCGTTGCTCTGTCATGAACCTCCACAGCCAAGCACCTTTCCAGAAAATTTTGAAATACTGGACTAAGATTATTCCAACTGGGTACCTCAGGCTTACCATTGGCTGCTATCATAAAAAGTGCTCTCAATGGTGCTTCCTTCATGTAAGGAGGCTCACCTTCGATCATCTCAATGGCCATGATTCCTAGTGACCAAATGTCAACTTTCTTTCCATACTGCTTTCTTGTGACAACTTCAGGAGCCATCCAGTAAGGAGTACCGACCATAGTCTGTCTCTTTTCGTCACCAACAATATTTGCACAAAAACCAAAATCTGTTACTTTCACTTCACCATTCATTCCTAGAAGAACATTATCTGACTTGATGTCTCTGTGTATGATGCCCCTGGAATGCAGGAAACTAATAGCTTTTAAAACTTCTCTGCATACAGCAGCAATCTGCGCTTCTTTCATTACAGTCTCTGTTACCACATCCGTTAGAGGACCACCCTCCAGCAGCTCCATGATCACCCAAAGATGATCATCGACTAGATATGAGTTTAAGAAATTCACCAAATTTGGATGTCTGAACTCTTTCAAAACTTTTATTTCTGTTAGCATAAGCTCTTTTTTGGGCTGCTTTGACAAGTCAATATCCTTGATCGCTACTCGCTGATTATTAGACAAATCAGTGGCTATAAAGACTGTCCCGGAAGATCCAGCTCCAACTTCTTTACTTCTCTCGAATCTCAACTGTGGATCATCACTGTCGCAAATTTTTTTTAGCTCTTCGTAGACATCCTCATCACCCATAGGGGATGAGCTATTGGTTTTTCTCCTCAAAACTGGAGTCTCTTTCTGCACAGCACTATTCTCGACTGGCTGCTTATTACCATTATTATCCTTGGGTAACCGGTCATAATCATTAATTTGACAATTGTTTATATCCTCAAAGATCTGGGTAAGTGACTTATCTTTGACTTCAACAAACTTTCTGGGTGCAGGTTTTGGTGGTTTGAGGGTTTTTGGAGGCAGCGCAGGTGGTATCCTCTGTACTTGGCTATCTGTTGAGCTAACAGACGTCGATCCGTCCGAATCCCTCTGTGTATTGAACTTCTTAGCCAGTACCCTATCGATTTCTATTGACTCCTCTTCGATGGCGTCCTCGGTTACAAATGGTTTGAAAGCTTCCTCTAGGGGCGTGGGCTTTTTTCTTATGGCGTAATTATAGAACTTGATTGCCTGGAGCGCAGCATCGGGATGTTCATTCTGCTCAGACTTGGTGATTTGTGTGTTAAGAAGGCGGATCCACGAATCGGGCAAACCCTCGATCTGGCCGGTCTCGGCGTTTTTGCTCACGTGAAACTTGTGAGACACATTGGTAGGCAAGCCAATCTCGCCCACAGTGTCAACTGACTGATGGGAACTGTGCTGATGGTTCTTTTTCTTGGAGAAGAATTTAATGATGCTCATCTTGGAAACTGTTCACGTCCTGGCAACTGTCACTTGTAATTATATATACAGACACGCACAGCACGTACTTAAGATAGAGAGACTTAACTGACAAACAATATATAGATGTTTTCTTCGTTTCTTTCAAAATAAAGCTTTACTGCAAATAATACTTAGTCCCTGGAAACCATCATCATCAGACCCATATCCCTTATTGAGCTACGTACATGTAGATGAGTAACGTTGTTTTTCTCTCTCACTGACGTATTCGCTACCCTTTCATCCAATGGTATTTTTTTTTTTTCTGTCAGGTGGAGTATAGCAGCAATGTTTTCTTCCTTCTCCTCCTTTTCTTCTTCGTCGTTGTATTTTTATGTACAACGAGACGACGAGAAGTCATTTACAAAAAGACGAGACGTTCATTGTCACAAGTCGTGAGTGTTCTTTTTTTTCTTTCCTTTGACTGGCACACATACTCCGGACATGCAACGAATTCAGCATCAAGACAAGAAACCTAAACAAAAAAAGAGAAATAAATAATTATGCACCCATTTGAATACATATTTATTGTAGGTACGTGTACTTATTGTTTTGTGCAATGGTAAATCTAAGTATAAGTAAAAGTAAGATGATGGAGTGTGGGATAAAAAGGTAATTATCAGTAGATTGTATATAGGTGTGTACGTGATACCTAGTTAGATACATGAATCACGCAGTCAATACGTATGTAAATCAAAATGCCTCCTGGAGAAGAGATCACACCCTTATGCTTTTTTTCTTCAACTTCACGTATATACTTATAAGTACCTTTTGTTTCTTTGACGGCCATGAGTGCTCCAATGCCTCCAGCGCCTCAGTATGTACTTATGAGTGATTCAAAGTTTCCTCAAGTGATCTTAACTGTTTGCTTTTATCTTCGTTGTTGTTGTCGACCATTGAAGATGATTAAAGGAAAATTGCTTTAAACTAATGGCTGATTTTCCGATAAGCGACCCGGAGACCATAGAAACCCTGTGTGCAGAACAATACCAAACCAGACACTGGGCGTAGACTCCGAGAATCGATTGTCGAGGTGTCCGAGGACGAAGACTTATAAGTAGGAATCCGAGGTATTCTTATGAGGTGTCACACATCGTAGGTACGTCGCCTCTCTCACTTCCTCCTCCTTGTCAATCCTAGCGAACACAGCAGGTCCGAATATTCCGACCCGATAGCTTAGTTAAAACTAAGTGAAGCTAATGTATATCTATTTATCGACGACTAACCGAAAGCAGAGAGAGAGAGGCTTTGTGAATGCATGCAGTGTTTGTTGCCTTCAATGATGTGAGTATGTATATGGATAATTTTACGAAAAACAACATCACAGATCACATGTACCCTACGAGAGGGTTTTCGATTCGTTCAACACTGGCATATATACGAGATATATAGGCCCGAAATAATTTTTAAAAAACGCAAAAGCTGCAAAAATGTGTGATGACGATTAAAACGTTGCTAACATAATTAGAAACAATTTATTCATCTTTCCAAAGGATAATTTATTAGCAAAGGTCCTCGCATGTATGATGCCGAAAGTAAAAAAAAATGTTTCTACAGATCATTTATTAGAGGTTAAACCAATACTTTTTACATATTTTGCCATTGCAATGAGTTTTTTCTATTTCATACGTCTTTTTCATTTATTTTTCAAAAGATTTATTAAAAAAACCACACTATACAATATTATTTCAAAAATGTTTATGCAACGGAAGAGTTCAATTTATCAATGGTTTCAAACTCGTAGGAGACATTTTGTTGTTTTTGTATAATAATCCATATATAGGTACGTACATACACGTATGTACACACCTTACAGTGACAATGATGACGCAGATATACATGGCGTATTCCAGCTACAGTCGCAATATCCAGATTAAAATTTGTTGTTTGATTTATTTTTAAAATTTTTTTCTCGATATTTATCATCATGAAAAATTAAAAAAAGATCAACAATATTTTAAACGTGGTGGTTGACGTAGTTGATTTTTTCACCACCCTTTTTCCTAAGACGACTGAAAGTATAGGGCTGTTTATCTAAATAAAAAAAATTAATAATAATAATAAATATCAAAATAAAAAATCAAATGATAAAAAGTATTTTTAGATGTTTTTTCCTGGATATTTAATATCTGAATGAAAAATTGTATTATGCCCAGAAATTTGGATTTGTTATTTGTTATAATTAATTTTTATCCTTTTTTTATAGGTAATTAAATAATTGAAATAATTTATACTCGAGTAATGTTAATTCATACATTGTTATAAATAAATAGGACATGGAAAAACGCAGAAAATATGTGAAATAACGAATAACGTAGTTTTTGTAAAATAACCCCACTCCCAAACCTCACACACACTCGCAACAAATATATTATCTATGTCCACGTGATGCGCGCGCACAACGAGCAAAAATTAATTCTTTCTGCTATACTCTTGTGTTAGAGAGTCAATCATCGTCTGCTGTTTTTTGCCATCATGAATCAAAAAACTTAATTCATCTTTTTTAAACATTTAAATCGTGACTTTTTCAAACATATCTCTCTGTAGCAGAGATCCTGCAAGTGCGTGTCGTGCAAAAGTTGCGCCAAAGACGAAACAATGGCGTACGTCATGAGGTGCGGACTTGGTATTTTAACTCTCAAACATGCCGTGCCCCGTGTCTTTTTGCCAGTCAAGTATCAGCGACTGTGTTTCCATACCAGTTGGATACTGGATGGTGAGTATTTATTAATTGTATCAATTCTAAGTGGTTTTTTAAAAACTTTTCAAACATGTTGAGGTTAGATCTTATGGAGATTTTTTTTTCTACGTGTGTACACTATGCATAATATTACGTATATACACCACTGCAGTTCAAAGTTTGACCTTTCTTCGGACGGATTTGAAATTTTTTTTCAAACAAAAGCTATGGATGCTTTGACATGCGATTATTTTCCGTTTCCGCGCGTTTACTTTATGATTAGTGACATTTGTTATGCAACACTATGTTTACACACTCTAAACGTTTTTTACCTCAACTATCAAAAATCCGTGCGCACTTTCAACTTATTATAGTCGTTATTTCTGTAAATAAAATTACTGGCAGCTATAGGTGGTATTCAAGATAAAGACTAGCTTCATTATTTTTGGGGGTAATTTAATTTGACACATTGGTCAAAAAATGAGGTTTTATAAAATAACTGTCAGAAACTATTTATTTAAAGTCTTTTAACTGTTGTACCAAGTTCTAATGATTACTTGTTGTGATTTAGTGAAAGGCAAGGAGTTGCTAATGCCTGCTCTTTCTCCTACCATGGAAAATGGCACTATTGTCAAATGGCTGAAAAAGGAAGGTGAACCAATCAGTCCAGGTGATGCTATTGCTGATATTCAAACTGACAAGGCTATCATGACACTCGAGTTTGATGATGAAAGTATCATGGCTAAGATCATTGTAAGCTGCACTGTGATTTTTGACTTTTTATCTGTGACATTGGTTTCATAGACTCTCATGTATCACTAAGTATTTGTATAGGTTTCTGAAGGAAAAGTTGCCAAGGTAGGAGATCTGATAGCTTTGACAGTGGAAACCGATGAAGACTGGAAGTCAGTTGAACTGCCTACTGGAGGTTCTGCTTCATCTGCAGATACTTTGGCACCATCTGCTCCTCAACCTGCGCCGGCTTCTGGACCTACTGCTGAACCACCAGCAGGACAGTATGTGTTAATTTTTTAGATATAATCATGATAACATATACATGGTACAATGACTACATTGCTTACTAAATGTAATAGGACGAATGTGACTATGCCATCCCTTTCTCCCACCATGACAACAGGAACGATTGTCCAATGGGTAAAAAAAGAGGGTGATAGATTTGAAGCTGGTGATGCCATTGCAGAAATTCAAACAGACAAAGCTGTCATGACTTTTGAAATTGAAGAAGAGGGAGTACTGGCTAAAATCTTGGTTGGCATGATTATTATTGACATGTTAAGCTCAAAATCAGAATAGCAATGTGAGTGTTACTTATTATTTTAAACAGGTCCCTGACGGTTCACAAGCAGAAGTCGGCGATCTTATTGCCATCATAGTGGAGAAAGATTTTGATCTTTCGAATATCGTTATTCCTACATCAACAAAAGGTGCAGCAGCCGCTCCTACTGCTGCTGCTACAGCGGCACCAGTATCTGCTGCTCCTGCTGCAGGTGGAGCTAAAGATTCAACTCCACCCAGTGGACAGTAAGTTCAATTTAAAATCAAAGCCACCTGAACATAATTACTCACCAATACAGATTTCTTGTCATCACAGAGTATATGGGCTAGCTGTCAAGAGGCTGTTAGAAGAGTATGGTCTGAGCTCAGGATCCATCAACGGTACTGGTCGTCCAAACCGTCTTCTGAAAGAGGATGTTTTGAATCACATCAAATCCAAAAATGTGCAAAAAGTTGCACCAAAATCAGGTACATACTTTTAATTTCAATGATTGTTTTCAGTTTGTTCAAAGCATGCATTGAACTTCCTTCTATTAAAAAGTCTCAGCTCCATCTGCAGCTCCCTCAAAACCAGCGGCAAAGAGTGCAACTGCCACCTCAACTCCTGCATGGACAGGGGGACCGTCTACATTTACCGATGGTACCGTATCAAACATACGAGCCGTCATTGCGAAACGACTTGGCGAATCGAAGGTAAATTATGAAAATCTGTTGTAGCAAAATGTAAAAAAATCAAATTTATTTCTGTCAATTCTAGAGTCAAATCCCCCATTCCTATGCAAGCATTGACATTAATATCGACAAGATTATCGAGCTCAGAAGCAGTTTGCGAACAGATAACATTAAGGTGTCTGTCAACGATTTCGTAACGAAAGCAGTAGCTCATGCATTGTTAGAATGCCCTGCCGTCAATTCGTTGTATCAAGGAGGAAAGGTAACAAGAATATTTCTTTTTTACACGCCTGAAAAAGGATTTGACGATTGTATTTTTATTCTTAGACTATTCCTCAAGCTGGGGTCGACATTTCTGTTGCTGTGTCCACGCCAACGGGACTTATCACACCTATTGTATTCAATGCGGCATCTAAAGGTTTGACCGAGATATCCAATGACATTAAAACATTAGCTGGCAAAGCTCGCGAAGGAAAGCTTCAGCCACAGGAATTCCAAGGAGGAACATTTACGTATGTTTGGATATTACAATGTAAAAATCTAGCATCAAAATTAATTGTTTGAATTTTTAATAGGATTTCTAATCTTGGAATGTTTGGTATTCGAGACTTTTGTGCCATAATAAACCCACCCCAGATAGGTATCCTCGCAGTCGGAACCGGTCGTGAAGTTCTCGGTATAAAATCGTTAACTCTACTACCTCAATTTTATTTTTCAAGTTTTATCTATCAAATTATTCATTTCTCCTAGATGTATCGTTGAAAAAGTCGACGCTGATGACCATTACGTTATCCTACGACAGGAGAGCGATTGACGAGGAACAGGCTGCAGATTTCCTTGCAGTGTTGCGAGCAATGCTTCAGGATCCGAACTTCCTCACTGTAGGCCGAAGTTCGACACGCAGGCTTCATTACGAATGATTAAGATCGGTAAGTCATACATATAATTCATCAAACTTTACCATGGAATAATTATTTGTTGTGTGTCAGCAGAAAAACATGACAATTTAGTAGTATTTCAAGCTCCTTAATGCATGATTCAAGATTGTTTTGCTTATTATTACGAAAATGTTATAAAATAATACTATGCTGGTTTCTTCATTTGAACCGTCAACTTTTATTACTTTTGCAATATCGAAATGTCATGGTAGATACTTGGAATTTCATTTTTGTCATCTTACATTACGTAAAAATTACTGAATTTCACAAAACAAATACGTATGTTCAGTTAAGATGGCTTTGTTTATAAAACAAATAATAATAAAAAAATTCGTTGTGTATGTTTCCAGGAGAGCTAAACCACACTAAAACTGCCTCGTAATTTATTAAATTGTACAAAGAGAGCGACGCTTGTTACCATTTGAGACAAATGAAGTCAATGTGACATGAATATGCTGAAACTCGAGAGGAAGCAAAAAAATCAATCTCTCGTCTGTGGCACAAAGTCGTGCTACATAGAAAAAAAATTAAGGCCACCACGCAAGTCAAAATACGGCCGAAACACTATATTGTAAGCCAAAGACAAGCATGTAGATACACGGAAGCTGTAAATGAATTAGTTCAAAAGAAAAAAAAAATTCGTTTTAAACATTACTCGATAAATTGTTATACTTAGTAACTGCAATCTCTAGTACACTAGTAATTAGTGGTATTATATTTAACTTTTAATAAAATGACGTAAGCGAATTGCGTACTAACCGCGCCGTGAAGAAAATCAGCAAACAAATATCAGTGTTCATGGGGCGTTAAGTAGTATTCAAGCTGAGTTTTCATCTTGTAAATAAAAATATTTATTGTTCACAATTTATTAATATTCTTTTGTATTGACAAAGAAAAAAGTCTAGATTATTTGGTAAAATTGGATATTATTAATGAAATTTTTCTTACACATACATTCTTATATACATGATACTATCGACTATGTAGTATTGTGTTGAGCAATTTACATAATGCTCTTTGTAGGCACATTACACAACGCTTAAATATCATAGAATGACAAATATACACGTAAATATATATAAAATTTGGTAAAATTCGTATGAAAGGTATACTTTTTCCTTCAAAAAGTTCATATAAAAATTATTACTTGCTCATTATACGACTTGATTGCTCTTTTTGTATTGTCTGCTTAATACTTTCATTAATACAATTTTTTTTTTTTTTTTTAATCTCATTGGCGAAAATTAANAATAACTTTTGTTTAATACCATTGAATTAATTCACAAAGTAAGTAATATAAAATTTGTCATGACAAAATATAATAATAGTAAAAATTGTAAATAACTGCAATAGATCTGTGTATAATTTTTGAGCTCTAAGAATTTTCTTTCATGGTATAATCATCGTAAGAGATTTACATATAAATATTTAATCACCATAAAATAAACTGAAAATCATAGGCAGTATTGGTAATTTTCTTGCCGTAACCAAACGAGTTGTGAAACGATTTTGGTCAAAAAAATTTGTAAAAACTCTTGAGCCAAAAAAAAAGCCATTTAGGTACAATTTATATGACTGCCAGTTCTGTTCATAATACTTTTAGTGTAATATTGTAGAAAACCAAACTGTCTGTCTACTGTCGTCGGTCCCTCATCGTATTATGTTACGTTACCTGTACTGTACACGACACAGCAGAGAGTCCAATCCAATGTACCTATACAACACAAAAAAAAATTGTTCATCGTTGGTTTATCTACAGGAAATAATAAATATTTACAATACATGAGTGTATGAATCGTCGTATATTTCAAGTTTCGGCGAAATGATTCATACAAGTGAAAGTTATTCAAATGAATTTTTTAATGTATATGGTAATTATTTATCATTCTTCTGGCTCGCAGTTCCATTCACGAATAATTATCTGATCGTTGGGGTGATTAACGCGATTATTGCTGCAACCGTTTATCATTTAGGTACGACTTATGAGCTGTGGTTATCGGTTAGCTTGTTTTTCTTCAACGTAAATTACTTAAATTTTTTTCCAGGTAACCCTTCAATTATATTCTTCGACTTGGGCACTGATACTCGTTGTTACTTATCGATGCAAATGTGAAATAAATAAATAAAAATAAATTTGAACGTCAAACTAAAATGTGACATTTTATCATCTACACAGGCATGTAAAATCAAGCAATCAAGAAATATTATATTTATAATTTTTTATTAGAAATTAGTTTTTTTTTGGCGTGAAATTATTTACATACGTTACATAAATTATCACATTTACAAATAAAATGGCTTACTCTACTGTATAAAATGCGTTTCGATTTGCTCCCAAAAATCGATAAAAATAATTGGTTTTTTGTTTTTTCTTCTTTTTATAAAAATAGTTTAGTTACGAATATATGTAACTATTATCAATTAAATGGACACAACTAAGTATATGGTAACATTTTAAACGATTCGATAATTTTGTAAATTTTTTGTCGTCGTAACGCTACATGTATACGTTTTTATTACGAATACTTTAGCCTTCCAAGGATTATCAACTACGATACATTGAAAAAATGGCATTGAACACAACAATCGGTTTTTTTTTTCTCTTTATTACAAGCTTACGGTGAAACTCAAGCGGCCTTGAGGAAATTTTTTTTCCAACCGAAAGCCCTAGTCACTTGAAAATTCCTACTTGAAACATTTAACGCACCAAAATGTGAAATACCAATCGGTTACCAGATCCATCGACTCTTTTGTGGAGTATAAATTTAAAAGAAATTCTTCAATTTTCGACTTTTGATTAGTTAGGTATAATCGTTTAAAAATTATCATTTTCACATATAATACACATAAAATCGATTTTGTTGAAAAACCTTGAAACTCTCGATAAATACATTGTACATAACGTGTTAAAAAATAGTAAAAAATATGATCAATCCGAATAATTTATCTCCTAAAATAAGCACTTTTGACAATGATCACGATGCATTCGTTAATTGTCGCTAAATTCGCCCTTACGACAGCAACATATACACATACTTACATGTTTCAACTCGCAATAAATACATGTGTATACCTATACAATCATCGTGATAATTGACGGGTTTGCAAGACCGACTTCTCAACCATAAAAACAAAAGTCACTCCCAACCAACACTTTGCACGTACAACAGCGAGGCTGACAGTCGCTTATTTTCCTCTTTGCAGTTTTCTCGATTGTAGGAGTAAAAATTAAAAAACAAAAAATAGGCAAAAATTCTCAGCCACTGAATCCACGCTTCGGATCATCTGTCGGTTTTGTCCTCGACGGCGGTGGACTCCTGGGCACCTTCGGCATCGGCCACCGGTTCTGTGTTCTCGAGCACGTCGACGTCGACCGTCCGGCTGCAGTGGTCCTTGCCGGAAGGACTCGCTTCCTCCTCCTGAGCTTCCCCCACCGGTGGCCGTAGCCAATCTCGCCGGGTCTCGCAGATCTCGTCCACCTGGACGTTCAAGTGCTCGGGCGCCGGCCATAGCTCCGTTGGAGCGCACTTGCGGCCCGCGTGGGGCTCGTGGTGGTGATGTTGGTCCTCGTCGCTGCTGCTGCTGAGGATCTCGCGCGAGCAGCACGTCGATGCGCTGCACTTTTTGCTGCGGCACTTTATCAGGCAATCCGTTGGCTCGACCCTCGTCTGTAAATGTTTGTTTGTGTCTTCATTGTTGGGTTGGAAAGTGGAAATTTCACTTTTCCATTTGCGTGGTGATTCCGATGCACCAGGCAAATACGATTACAAAAATCGGTATTATGTACGGGTGATGTATACTTACGTTACAAAATTCGGGCTGAATGGTGACGTGACTGATGCCCTGTTCGACGAAAAACATGGTTATCCGGTCGGTGATTCTCGCGTAAACCTATACATATGGAAACGAGGCGAAAAGAAAAATCGATTAGCCGATATATATTATATATACACATACGTCGCGGACTTTTGATTTCATCGATCGATGGCCTTATGTGTCTTACCGTCGCGTCAGCGTAGATAATGTGAATGGTAGCAACGACTTTCTCCCCGTTGAGCTGCCAGACGTGCAAGTCATGGACGTTGAGGATGTCGGGAAAAGCCGCGAGGAGCTCCTTTTGCAGCGAATCGATGTTTATGTGGTTCGGTATCGTTTGCAATAGGATCAGACCGGATTCTTTCACTGTGCAAACATTCGAGTATACGTACAAAAAGAAAAAATAAAAAAGTATGTCATGTAACTCGTGTGTACTAACTGTAAGGGTAGCTGAGGACGAAGAGCGAGACGGCCGAGACGACGGCGAAGATCGGATCGACGAACTTGGCGATCTCTTTGTCGGTGAAGTAGACGGCGACGGAGGCGATTATCACGAGGATGCAGCCCAACACGTCGCGACACATTTCGCGAAAACCCTGGGTCTTGGGCATTATGATCGGGCTGCTGCGCATCTGCCCGGCCGTGCCCTCTTGCTGCGGTTGTTGCGAATCGGTGGCTCTGAAAGCCGATCGTCCGTGGGTGTGACGAAATTTTCCTTTTTTTTTTGTTTTTTTTTTTTTTTTTATAACAATATTTATCGAGTATACTTGTTTCAACGATACTAAGATTTTCGTGGGATCGGTTATTTTTCAACTAGCAATAATCGCGCCTCGGTAGAGCCTCATTGGTTACGATATCGCCGCTGCGCGAAGCTGGAAGATCGTTTATCAAATATAACATGTGATCGCAAAATTGAAAATTCGTAGGTGTACGTGTATATAAATTACGTTTTTTTTGAGTACTAATTGTACACACAAACCAAAGACAAATCCGTGAGCGAATACGTTTGATAACTTTTTTTTTTCAACCCAAAAAATTCTGATAAATACACGCCTGAGCTGCTGGTGGCCTTGACAAATGTGTATACATCGATGATGAAATGGTTTCGCATGTGGTTATCGGTCGCGTTTTTGTTGCTATTGCCCCCCCCCCCTCCCGTCCAAGTTTCAGAAGTAAAAGAAGTCGGCGTTTTTTCGTCCGTTCCAAAATAAAATAAGCGATAACAATGCAATGACATTGAGTTTCAAGTTGAGGCTGAAAAAACAGTCGAGAGCACGTGATCCCGCTCGTCCTCGTACGTGTGCTTACTTTTTCAGTACGACGTTGCCCTCCTGGGTGAAGTGGAGAAAGACCCCTTGGTTGAAGGTGTAGCCACCGATGAGGAAGTAGCAAAAGGCATTGAGCAAAATGCCAGAGGCACCGATGGTCATCACGGGCAAGGGGTGGTGCATCGCGTCCAAGTGGTGGATGTGCACGAGGGTCTGTAGCGCCTCGACGATCAGGGAAAAACAGAACGACGCCAGTAGCACGCAGCAGATCAGCATCGTCACTATGTCGATGCGCGCCCACCCGAACGTGTTCATCATTCGTTTTTCCGGCCGGAGCTTCTGTTGGGTTGTAATTTTTTTTTTTTTTTTTCTCTGGTAAAATTTTTTTTAACTTTTTTGTCTCAACAGAAAGTACGGGAGTTACCTTGGATTTTTTCGCCGACGGGGCCATCGAAACTTGGTCGTTCAGGCTCACGGACGAAGATCTCAAGGAGCACATGGAATTGGCGTGGCTCCTGTTGTTTTCGTTTTCGTACTGAAATATGTGAAATATGAACGTACCGTGAATCAGTATTCAAGCAAAAAAAAAAATCAAGCGCACTTTGCCTTACAAAAAAAAAAAAAAAAAAAAAAAAAGGAAAAGGAAAAGTTATAAAAAGTTAACATCGATAACTTCAACGCGCAACCCACAAAGGCACGTCTCCTTTTGTATAAAAACTTTTACTTTGTTGCTCTCTTTTCCTCGATCGACAACCGTGTTATTTCTACAAGATATAAATCTATCGACGAGTTGACGAAAAGATTCGCCGTTTCTTCGCTCTTATCTCACTCCTCGTTCGTGCGTAGACAGGTGAGATGTTTAAGTATGCTTTCGCGGTAGGTACGACGCAACGTGAATTAATGAGGCGGAGCAGTTCTGAGTTGTTGTGTACTTTTTCTGCGAGGAATTTTATAATTTAGAAATTTCGGTCCCCATGGATGACGACGCACATTTGGGTGACATAGTAGATACCGAAAATAATTACTGTTGTTGCGAAACGAATTTTCGAGGCAAACAAACATTTTTTTAATCTGCATTTTTATGCGTTGTACGTGTTATCATCATCACCGACAGCAATTAAGTAAACTAGCCTAGACCTTGCGTTTTTCAAAACCATTACCGATACACAAAATTTACATTTTAAACTCGTTTTGAGCTCACGTGTAACGTATGTACGGATACTCGCGTACCGTCACAAAAAAAAACGCGAAAATCGTCCTTGTTGTTTCCCATTAGTTTTAAACATGTATTTTGAGTACATAATATCCATACTCTGTCGAATTGACCATCGAAAAATTTGATTACACGTATTCTCGAAATAAGTGGCAAAGACTATACGTCTCTTACACGTTGAAGTGTATACAAATTATTCCATTCTCATTATACGTTAATGGAAATTTCACTGCATTTTTAGGTGGTAAATATTTTATGAATCACATGAATTGAGGATCAAATTGTTGCCTCTGTGCATGTGTGGGTGATATGCTTATTCCTTGAGATAAACAATATGACGCGTCGTCCAGGTATTTCAAATGCATAGCACACGAGAACATCGAATCACACGCATTACGTGTATAGGTGAGGTACGTGCGATCGCTTATAAAAACACGAGAGAAAGATCGGCTTTGTCTCTCACTGGATCGTATATTTTTTCGTGTTTCTTTTTCGATTCACCGACAATAAACAAGCCATTCATCAATGCGGCATTGTCAGTTTGTATTATAACTGCACGTCATGAAAAATGGCACGAAAGGCCGACCGAGCGCTTAAATTAAAAAAGCTTTGTCTAAAAATAAGTAAGAAGAAGAAGAAAAAAAAAAACCCCCCAGTACCTTGATGGAAGCGATGCACCCAGCGAGTGCGACGATGTTGCAGAGCATGTGGTAAGCGTTCATGAGGAGGGTAAGCGCGTGGGTGACGTATATCGCGACAATCTCAACAGCGAAGAAGGCACACGTGAAGAAGAGCACTATGTACAGCTGGGCCGGCTGAAGTTGGCGGAACCACTCTTTCACGGCCATCTTTCCACTCCTCGTTATTTTATCTCACTTTTTTTTAAATTATTTATTTTTTACTCCGGTCCTGTAAGTAAATGTAGCTGGATCACTCGCTCCACCTTTGCTTCGTCCAATGATTTATGCAGATCGTTCGGTTGACTCTCCGTCGTGGCTACACTATACACGGCTGGAAGGAGTACCGTTTCTCAGCATCGGCGACAAACACCTTGTCCTCTATGTATACTGGTGAGGCTGGATCTGCAAAACAACGACAGAGAACTCTTGTATACACGAGAGAAGAGACTTTCAGGGGAATGAGCTTTTTTTTCTTTCTTTCTTTTTTTTTTTTTTTTTTTTTTTTTCAACGCGTGTGTTCTAGAAGTTACCATTGTAGAGGTGTGCACACAATATTAGGGTGTGTTTATACTTTTTGGATCGAGCCAATCGGACGGTAGATACGGTTTTTGACGTGATTTTTGTATTAAATATGTATTCAAGATAATATCCTTTTTTTTCATTTTAGCTGAACTATTACCACTGCGTGTTTTTTTATTTATACTGTTCCCATACCACAGAGAACAGGTGGACGTTTCTGCACGTAATTAATTAATCATCAATCAATCAATGTTCCAGAAATTATGAGTATTAATTTTCAGTTTATACGTATGTCGAAGGTGTCATAGATTGGCACTCCGCTACTTTAAAAAAAAATTTTTTTTTGTAAGAATAGAGATCTACGGATTCGTGACTCCACGTTAATTAAAACGTCAAAGTGTTACATCTTCGATTGTTAAAAAAAAAAAAAAAATCTGATTAAAGTTATTATATAAATGCTGTAGGAGTTGTGCAATACGACTAGTTATTAAGTACAAGTGTTGAATGCAGGAGAAAGATTAACATATATTTATCAATTATTTTTTTATAAGTTGGGATACATATTTTTTTGTACTTCTGTATCGGTATGCTTAAGTTTTTTTTTTTACTAGTCGTTAGTGTGTCATTAACTATATGCATATTGGTATCAGCGACATTGACTTTATCATAAAAATCAAACAGTGACCTCGTTACTTTTAAATCGTTTTATAAAAACACGATCGTGCATTTAAGTTAAAAATTTTATTGCTCACAAGCAGATTTTTGAGATTTTCGTACGATCAAGATTGAGATCTCTTGTTATCGGTGGCTTTCCGAATCTCGTGCAGACAATTATACTCATTGAAATTTTGAGTCAACGATAGTGCGTATACATAGTTGTCGATGCTCGTGCATGCAAATTTCGGTTTTTTTTTTTCTCATATTGTTATTGGAGGAAAAATGTTATTTTCCAGTCCTCACAATTATAACAGAATACATTTCAGAGGTTAATGGCATCGTCCGTCAATATTACACATGTCGTAACTCTGAGGAAATAGTATATTACGTACCTAGGCCAGAAAGTGGGGCTATTACTGACCGCGCTATATTATCGATATGCGGTCAGATGTAGCCCCACTTTTTGGCCGTGGTAAGTATACTTTTTTTCCTTACACCTCCGCCGAAAGTTCGTCACCACGGTTTTAGTTTTGTTAAAAATGATGGTTTAAAGATCCAGTCAAAGATTTAGTGCATTATGCATTATTGTTGATCGATCGGTCGCTCGAACAATACNCACGTTTTTACTATTTTAATCACATTTGAGCGCCATCTCCTGCCCGCTAGGGGATCTATTAAGACTTTGTTTACCGACCTAGAGGTTTGTTGCTATGTTGTTGCGATCCATGACACTGCACTTCAGGGCAGCCTGCGCCATTGAAATTGGCGTTCTAAACACGCTGAAATTGAGCACTTTTGTAAATCCATTTACTTGATGAATAATTGTTACAAAATTATTCTGTAAACGGATTTTGACTCAGGGGAAGCTGATCCCTACGCTGGTCCCCGGTCCTTAAGTGCTTAAGAATATCCCTGTACATATCCAATAATTCATGTAAATAAATATCCAATGATTTTCTGTGTTGTATAAACTATAAAGGTTATAACTCCGTTAGCCGTATATATATATATATATGTGTGTGTATTGTATACATATATATGTGGACTGGTATGAGGCTTTTTCTAGCTCAAAATCGGGTCAGATGGAACGAACTTTCGGCGGAGGTGTAAGGAAAAAATTTTGTTGGATGTAGTGAAGCGTTTTATCACATACACAGTGTTAATGTTTTTTATCCAAAAAACTTGAGGATAAATGATAGATTACACCTGTTGATGAGATTTTTGTTCTCACTTAATCATTCACAAAGTTATTTAAATTTATCAAGCAGGTGCTCATTGCATTACGTGATACAAAAAAAAAAATTTTGATTTTTGCTCAATTCGTGTATAATCAATCTCTTGACCCGCACCACTTGGATCAAATATTTTCGCCAGTAAGTACCGTGCGACAAAACGATTTGTTGTATATCTACACAAAATCACATCCTCGGTGAATTGTGTTTGCGTGACGAATACCGAACGCTAACTCTCATACGTATATATTTATTACCCAATGAAAAAAAAAAAAAAAAAAAAAAAAAAAAAAAAAACGATGCCACATATACTCTCGCTAAAAAAAACATCAACACGTTGTTCGCTCGCACACTATTCCTGACACCTGTATGCGTAACAAAAAAAGCATCACCTGCGTGTCTGCCAACCGATGTCAATATACGTATATCTATAAATGTTTTATTTTTTGTTTTTTTTTGTTTTATCAAAGTTAGACTATTCCATCAAAATCTAAAAATCGGCAAACCGATCACCTGAGCTCGAGGACAATCGTATTCCCCAATCAATAAAAAGTACTATTTTCCATCGAATAAATCAAACGGAACACCATCAAGCGCTCGATTAACCGTATCATCCCACTAATCACTGTGACATCACCTCTATACACTCCACTCATCCTGTAGGTACATCGATTATCGTAAAACTACGAGATCCTCCCCATACACTCAAATAGTCAATCTCGAGAGTAAACAGATACGACACGCTCCAACAGCTGGAGCATCCAACGGTACAATTATCCCAACAAAAATAATCAACTGCCGCGTGCTCATCGTGACCACGGAGAATCAGCACCAGCAACGACCACCGGACACTCGACTGTCGGTGCATGGAAGCCTGCACGGATCTCGCTCGTCCGTCTACCTCCTCCTCGTTTTATTCCTCTCTTTCTCTCTCTCGCTCTCGATGTCTCGTCATCGTTTTTCTTTTTTTTTCTTTTTTTATTGCTCTCTTCTCCGGCTATCTATATCTCTCTGTAAACACGTAGACGCGCTAGAATGATCGAATTTCCGCGTTTCCCTTTATTTTCTTTTACTTTCTTTCAGTAGTTTCGGTGGCATCTTACGTTCTTTAAGTACACCCTTTGATCGGTAAAGTGCTGATTGGTTTTTTTTTTTTTTTATTACGATTTGGAAACACCGGCTCGCTCTTACCTTGTTTTCGATTGTGCGTAAATACGTACGCGCACACAGATCGATCGTATTTAGAGGAAATAATCTCGGATTGGCGTTGGTTTGACGATCGGTAAATTTACTCGACTGCCGGAAGAAGGTGTGTACTTGTGTATATTATTTTTGTTCCCACAAGTTTTCGTTGAAATTGACGATAAAATCGTTTTCGTTATTTCGGTAGCATTGCTCGTTTCATGAATATTGAGATCATTACCGATTTTTCTTTTTTATAGCTCAGAAAAAAAAATGATAATCGACATGTTGGGCCTACGTAAAGTTATGCGCGTATGTATACATGTACGCGTGAAAAACAAGCGCAGTAATGAATCGAACCAGCCACGCCTCGCGATTATTTAATTGTAACTTGTATCGATAGCCGCACCTTGTGGAAACTGAAAAACATAGCAGCTGGAGGTTTTTTTTTTTTTTTTTTTTGCAAGAATTTGTGTGATAGACGTCGAGCCGATCGATCAAGGTCACAGTTTTCACGAACGCGTGCGCGTTTGGACATACCAATCACGTACAGATCGGTAAACAAGTGAATAGGAAGTTTGACCGACAAAATCGCCTCTGTAATGGTTTTAAAAAGTGCGTTTGATAAAATTTGCGAGGGAAGTTTACTTTTTCGATGCTTTGTTATTACGTTTGACCATTACAAGGAAATGTAAATCGATCGTACGGCACAGTGATCGGTTCAAGTGAGGAAGAAAAAAAAAGATACAGGAATCTAACGAGATTCCTGGTTAATTGACATCAGCAGTGTATTAAATATACATAAAGCACCGGGACTTTGCTATGTCTTTCAACCTGATCGAGGTAATTCCGATAATTGGTTCGCGGATGCTGTGATCTTTGTGACTAGAAGAAGAAAAAAGAGCGAAAAAAAAAGTGCATTTTCAGATTTGCGTTGCATTAAATTATCGCGTAGGATATTGGATAATCGATTTGCAATTGTGATTTTTCTCGCTCAGATTGGAGTAAGGCTCCCTCCTCTCTTGACTTTGTGCGTATAATCTCGTACCTATACATCATGCGTCAGAGCTGTACCGGAATCTCTCGATGGCACAGCAGTGCTACGATTTTTTTCTTTGCTCGCGATCGGCAATGGACCGATTTTATTGTTGTACTCGGAAAGAAAGTTAAATATATACGAATACGCGATTTCTTTTTCATCCGACGTAAGTGTACCGTATGTACGTAAGCGTTAGATAATTGTACCATACTATACGCATATATAAAGTCAAATTAAATAATTACCATGAAAATCCTGTATCGTCTAAATTGTCAATTAAAACGAGAGTTTGCAAAGCGGTAAATAAAAATATTTCAGTGTGTACGCTTTATCTAATCAATTCTCATGAAATGTAATTACACGAAATTATCTCGTTGGCAAAAACTCTGGCGTGCGTATATGTATGTGATATCGTACAGATTTGGCCGATCGCGCATTAAGTATCATTATCACATTGAAATCGAAAGGCCGAATCAAAATGAATAAAATACACTATAAGGTTGGGCAATTGCCATATGTATACGTCAAAATCTCTGAAAAATCACGAGAATAAATTATTCACACCATTCGAGTAGTAAATTGGTTCACAACAAAGAGTTAAATTATATTGATCACATCAAACGTAATCGAGATCAAATTATAATATCAATAGAGTTGAAACAAGTTTTAACAATGGACCCGATCGGCATTTTTGAAAGTTCACTTTGAGTACTTGGAATTACTTTTCAAGCAAAAATGTTGAGCAACGCCACAGCTATCGCGTAGAAGCATCTCACAATTGGATTGGAATTTATGCCACCACTTGGTAAGTATAGGAGGGTTAGCCAAACTGGCCGTATGGACAAAACATGATTTTCCAAAGATTCCAACGTATACGAGTACCATTGAAGTTTTTACAGCTCTACACACGTACATTACTGATACTCTGTACAAAAGCCATTCAAACGATTACATTCGGAGTCTCTTTAATTGCGCGCACGTATATAAACCTGACACGCAACGAATACAAACTCGATGCGCCTAAACTCTTGGCTATTCGCGAACGATTAACCAATCCGTCATCGGTCAAACAAGCTCGTCCTCGTCCTCTGACTAACGCAAAAAACATCTTTTATAGTACCCTATACATGACAATCTTGACACCTTACGATCGCACAATCTGCAGAGCAAACACCTCCAGCTACGGCATCCATCAACGACTTCCGCGGCACTTTTACTTTAATCACCCGACAATCATATCAAAAAGTGAAAAGAAGTGCCAGATGGTTCTCGCGAGTGAAAGACGGGGATTACCGTCCCCAATAATGTTAATATACCCTCTCGGGACTAAATTATCAAAGTGCTTTTCATCACGAGCATCCGGATTGTGTGTGACCACCTCGAATAATGGCCCCTCTCTCAATTCCTCTCAATGAAATGGACGCGCTGAGCTTGCGTGGGACACACGAGCTTGCACGCGCGCGTATACGTATGTACAAACAACTTGTATTAAGTATAGAGTATTATTATTATTAGCTATAACATGTACACGTTACAAGCTTCAACACGTGTCTTTGTGTTGCGAGTTGTACATGTACTGACATGAGGTCGGGCGCGTGTTTTTTTTCTCTCGTCAGAACAAAGGACTCCCGAATTGTTTTACACGTGCTGTGGATTTTAATTTTTTTTTTTTTTTTTTTCAAAGTGAAAGTATTATGTAGCGAAAATTTTTACTAATTGGTATATTTTAGGTACCACATGCACTATCGTGGTTTGTTCTATTAGATAAGTATTCAAAAATTTTCGATAACGCAATGAGATTTTGGCCGAAATTTTCATTACTATCGTTTCTTATCTTTGAAATACATGTATGTATACACATGTCCATATACACATACATCGAAATGTAACAATTTTTTTTTGCTCTGGTATTTATTTGCAAGCTAATGATAATTTCCGCGTTTCCCTTTATTTTCTTTTACTTTCTTTCAGTAGTTTCGGTGGCATCTTACGTTCTTTAAGGGATCGAGCCAATCGGACGGTAGATACGGTTTTTGACGTGATTTTTGTATTAAATATGTATTCAAGATAATATCCTTTTTTTTCATTTTAGCTGAACTATTACCACTGCGTGTTTTTTTATTTATACTGTTCCCATACCACAGAGNAAAAAAAAAAAGTAAAAAAAAAAAGAAAGAAAGAAAGAAAAAAAAATGTCAACGTTCGATGAATATTATAACGTAATCTGTAAAACTCGTTAGGTTTTAATTTAATTCGATGACATTTTACAATTTTAGAGAGAAAAAAAAACGAACGCTAATGAGATCATTATTGCCTACACATTTTTACCACTTTATTAATTTCTGAAAATAATAATTGACATTATCGTCGAGTACGAAAAGCACCCGCGATCTACTACTTAATTAGGTACAAACGTGATCTTACAGTTTATTGTCTTTGATGTATATGTTTGTCCACTTTACATTCTCACCGACACTTGAAAATCTGTGCGGTTTATTTGTGAATTTGTTAAAATTTCTCATTGAAAACAGAAAAAAAAAAGTCAAAAAACCCTCCGCTTTACCGCTGGAAAGAAATTATTTCACCTCTCATCGCCCAACGACGACTGTACACTCACCAATGTTCGCAAGTACGTCCTGTATCCTACCAACACGCACCACCTTGGCTATATCCGGTATCGAAAAAATAAGTACTTATGAAAAAAAAAGAAAAGAAAAAATGCACTATCCAGCAAGAAGCCTCCGTACGATCGCGCGCGCGCACCCACACACGCACGAAAAAAAATAAATAAATAAAAAAAAAATAAAGGGACTTTAAATCACACCGCACACAAAAATATACTCATATACCGCATCCGCAGCTGAGCTTGCACACGTCACGACGTATCCACGCGGAAGCCGAGTTACTTGTAATGAGCGGCTCTTAGGGAGCGATGATCGGCTCCTTTGCTTGGGCGCCCGCGCGCGGCTCACTGATAAGCGGCCAACTCCGCGTACAACACGGAGGAGGAGAAGAGAGACAAGGTTTTATCGCCCCGATCGCCGCCGACCGGCTATATGTACATACATGTACATATATATACATATATACGTCGTACGCGCATTCTCAAGCGCTTCGAGAAGGTAAACCATCCTCGTTCTCTCCCTGTGAATGTGTATGCAGTGCGTATGCTTGTATACACATGTATATTTATGCATATATCGTTTCTGTATATCAGTATTCCCTCGGGCGGACTATACTTGTATTATTGTGGTCATCGCGGCTTTTTAATTTCTTATCATTAGTACATACGCCGAGCGCGTGGATAACACCGACGAGCGACTTTTGCTTTTTCCTAGACTTTTTCTTTCAAAATACTTATGTCTAACTATTTCAAAGTAATATCAGTAACATTATACGTCGAAGGGCATTACCATATTACGTATACCCATTATATACGTACTTTGAAATTTTACATCTGCATACAGTAATATATAATTTGTGCGGCTCAGCAGTACGCGTAGACATAAATTACGGGTATACAGTACGTCAGGGTTACCAGATCAAACGGCCGAAAAACCATTGGGATGGTTGAACATTTTTCATGTAAGTCTTTAAAAAGATAAAAAAAAAAAAAAAAAGGTTAATTAACTCGACTTGCTTTGATAATTCAAAGAAACGTCATTTCTCTTTTGTTTCTCTTTAATGAATCTTATCATCTGTACGTACTTGACGTACCTATTTGTTCGGTTCGTCCGTTTCGTTTACTCTATTTAGTTTGCGTCACTTCGGTGTACAGAAAATTTTCTGCTTTCAATGCCATTTTTGTTAAAACCGGGACATTTTGCCTGTTTTTGAAAAAAAAAAAAAAAAAAATCAGGATACACAAGACAAAACTAGGACATCTGGTATCGTATAGGTACGTAATTTTGGGCTTCAATGAAATAAATAGCACGAAATAGTATCCCACCAAAACGTCTACACAGCAGATGAGAAGAAAAAAAATGGAAGCCAAAACCAAAAAACTGAGTGGTCCGATAAAATTTCCTCTCCTTCATTCTCTTATGGGTGGCGGGTCATGGTTGGGACGTGTCGCGTTCCAGCTACAGTCGTAGCTTGGTTCTCGATTTACATAACAAAAAACAAAAAAAAATTTGAGTAGCTTTTTCGAGCGAAGAAACAAACGCTGTAGTAATTTTTATTTTTTCAAAATTTTTTTTTTTCCAGTCACAAGCCATGTGTATACACACGGTGGGGTATACATAATAAACTCGCTTTTTGCGAGAAAAGCGACAGGCAATTTTGATCCTTAAATCAGAAAGAATCAGTTTCAGTTCCGGCTTATTTGCACTGGCAGGGAAATAGAAGCTTTTTTTTCACGGTGTTCCGCTACACACAGTTGCTTTTTGCATCGTTGCTCTTTTATGTAACGTGTCTAATACAAGTACCAACGAAATCGAGAGTAGCGCGACAAATGGATGTCGAAGAGAAATTTTGCTTTCTATACGGTGAAAATAGTATTTTAAGGACTAAAAAAAAAAGTTCGAATTCGAACTAACATAATACACAATAGAAAGAAAAAAAAACACTGTCCTGCACGAAGAGAGTAAATGTTTACAATAACCTGCAGAAAAAAGGGACAGTAAAGGGATTCCGCGATACATTCGACGCAGATACCGGATTTCGCGTCGTCGAGGTATATATATTATACGCAACAATCGAGCGTTTGAGAATATTCCATGGGCAAATCCTGCAATGCCACGCAAAGTAATTATGTTGTATACAGTAGTACGAGTACATGCTCTGTCAATGTCTTTTGACGCTTGGCTCATGGCTGCGTATGTATACACGTACATGCACTTGGCTTTTGTCTTTGTTGTAACAAAACACGATGTTGCGTGTACACGCGTATGATTATTTAAGAGTTGGTAAGCGAACAGGAAACACTATAGAGCCAACGATTTTGATATACGCATCACCATATATGTACTGTGAGCTGCATGAGTGACCTTATCCGTTGTTTCACGAGGAGGTATACGGTATGCGTCACTCGAACAGCTAATCAATCATTTCGAGACGATTTTACAATATCGGAGATCCGTGGTTTTACGAGCTCGTGAGAAATTCTTGGGACCTTTTTTTTTGATCCGCGTGCAGTGGAAGAAAATTAATTTTCATTTTTTCATTGTTTCCGGTATACGACACGTAACGTTGTTTCCATCGTTCGAATAATTACCTTATGATTTAAAGCTTTACTGCGATACGGATTTATGGGATGTGCAGTAAACGTTTCTTTGCTATAATGGGATTTAATTTTTTTACTTGAAGTACTTACATTTGATTCGCACTTGATTTTTTTATTTTGTATTTTTAAATCGACAACTACGGGATTTGTGAAAACATAACTAAGATTTTAAACAAAAAACTAGGGCTTAATACTCAAAAAGAGTTTTAATTTCAATTTATCTAGTACTCATTTACATTTTCCGTACTCCTAGTACCACGTGAAAAATTTTGTCCAGGAAGATCATTTTTTTTTTTTTCCAGAGTATCCCACCCGTCTTTACATGTAAATAAAATCTTATTGTTTTCAATTGTGAAATAAACTAATTTTCATCACTTCCACACAAAAGCAGTATACCTACTAAGTACAATACTACAATATTGAATATGTTTAATCCTTACATATGTCAAAATCAGAGACGTTGTCCACAGTCCACACGCAGGATCAAGTATACACAGATACGTATACTTGCGTGACAGTAACGTCCACATATTATGTATATGCACGCGTGTGTGCGGGACCAGTTGAACAATAGTTGATCGGCCTTGACCCATTGGCATTGTTATTAACACGCGACGATTCGAGCATCCTGATCGTTTTATCCTTGTCAAACGAGCATATTGCTGTAAATATATGGTCAAATTTACCCAAGTGAGGCCAGAGAACTATACTTTACAGCATAACAACTTTTTCCAAATTTTTAACTTGGTGTTTTTTCAAGTGTGCAGTACTTTGTGTTGTGCACTAGCTTCGATGCTCCGTTTTATGGTTTAAAAAATCCTGTGACGACACATATTCAGTACACAGTAAGGCTCGCCTCTTTAATATGCGGAATGTTAATATTATACGTACAAGAATCATGACAACTAAATGCTCATTGGCATTTTTTTTAACATTGAAATTTTTTTTTAGCCTAAAAATGATTGAAGTTTTCAGTAAAATGTCTATAAATACTTTCGCTTTCTTTCTTTTCCGTGTTGATATGGATGCGATCAAAAACCAATACCCGCAACCATTGCTGGCCAGAAATTATTAAAAATTTTACGTTTTTGTGGAATAATCCATATACCTCATCATGCAAAGCTCGAGCATATAATATGATATTCTTAGTTTACCCTGATAATATAAAACCAGAAAATCGTAACGTGTGCAACACCTGCTATTGTTAACTGGCTAAATTTAATAAATTTAACGCACAGCACGATAATAATAATTATATTTGTACAATATTCTTTCTTACCTAAATCCACACTCGTCTGGTGCAATTGATTTATTTCTACCTTTACTATATACCATCGTTTATTTAATTATTACATGCAATTGCGTCTCTCTATTGATATTGAATTTCATTTAATGCTTATCAATCTTCAATTGGTGATCCAATCGCTTGATAAATAAAGTATGTCAGAGGACGTGTGCAATGATATAGTTTATTTTTTATTTTTTTATAATACACTTAATATGACAATCAACGTCGGAGAGATAAATATATTGCGATAGGTGGGAAAATTTCCCCATTGATGTTTTGTTAATTTCTTCTTTCCGTTTTACACTAGAAGAATTACGTGATTATACGTATTGGAGGAAAAAATTTTTTCTTATATGAGCAAGTAAAATAAATACTTTATGTTTTTTTTTTTTAGTTGATAAATTTTGAATCTATAATTGGGTATGTAAAACAATCATGAATAAAACCACCATCACATGATTTTAAAAAAAGTTTTTGGTACAAAGTTTCTTTAACTCATCTTATTTTACATTCACCAGTGTTAAATGAGTTAACAAAAATTAAAGTAAATTCTAAAAGCCAACGTGAGTATTTTTTCCTCATTTTTACGATTTTCGATCACTTCCTGCTAGAGTTGTTGTTGTTGTTGCTGTTTAAAATAAGTAGTAGTTGTTTGAGGCAGCAAAGACTTTTGCAGATTTCACGTTATATTGAGAAATTTACTTTCAAAATTTTATTTAAATTTCTTAGAGTAAGTATTTTGCAATGAATGAATACTCATTTCTAAGATTATCTTATCCTATGATATCAAATCTACAGTCAACATCGTATAAATAAAGTATACTTACTATCATATATATATATATACACGCTTGATAAATGTTAATATTTTTTTATTGAAAGCTGTCCACTTATATCATAAAAATCAAACTTTCTGTAGTCTTAAACTCTTCAACACAGCTTTAATCAAAGCACTCGCGTTATCTTGCCTAACTAAGCTTTTGAAATTATTATTCAAACTATGATTTTATCATTCTGGTAAAGAGAACAATGTGTAAGATATACGTGAAGTGATGTGCAGTAATTATAGTAATCATTACTTAAATAGTGCTATATGGTCGATTTTATTAAACCATGTAAGTAGAATATCTATACTTTTGGAGGTCAATTTTCGAATAAAAAATAAAAGGTAAACTTGCCGCAAATAGCATAAAAAATCTTAACTTTACATTTTCTATCTGCAACATTAGTTGCGGCTGGTTTATAATTGATTATATGGCTCTACTGTAAATAGTATTAATTATTTGGATCAGCGCCATCTAGCGTTGCGGATTTCTGAACTAAAAAGTGGCCCTAAACTTTTCAGCCAGAGCTTTAGCGCGTAGAGCCATTTAGTCACTTATAAACCAGCCGCAACTCAT